TCACTTCAACATGTGCAACCCCGTTCTCTCTAGTGTATGGTATGGAAGCAATGCTCCCAGTCGAGGTTGAGATTCCCTCTTTGCGTGTAATAATAGAAACCAAGTTGTCAGAGGCTGAATGGGTCCATAACAAGTTTGACAAGTTGAACTTAATTGAAGAAAAGAGAATGACGACCTTGTGTCATGGTCAGTTATATCAGAAAATAATGAAGAAAGATTTTCATAAGAAGGTCAAGCCTCGTGAATTTAGAGAATGCGACTCTGTGCTCAGAAAGATCATGTCTTTTAACACTGATTCTAGGGGCAAGTGGACTCTCAGTTATGAAGGCCCATATGTTGTCATGAAAGCCTTCTCTGGAGGTGCATTGATTCTTGAAACTATGTATAGCAAGGAGTTTCCACGTCCCATGAATGCTGACGCAATCAAGAAATACTTCGCCTAAAGAAATAAAAGAATAGCTCGCTAAGTTGAAAACCCGAAAGGGCGGCTTAGGAAAAAAAGAGTGTCTCGGTAGGCTGAAAACCTGAAAGGGATGTCTAGGCAAAAGTTAGAGACATAAACAGAATAAAATTTTCTTGGTAAGTTGAAACCCGCGAGGGCAACCTAGGCAAAAGTTAGGGATTTCCTGACAAGTAACTGCGTTAGACAATACTTGATCATTGAAGCAACAATCTTCTCGAATTCTCATCACACTTCAGCTGAAGCCTCTTCTCAGGAGTTCAAAGTTGTTAGGGAGAATAGTGTTTATTGTATCTCAATGTATCTCTTCCATGTATTTACCATTTTTGAAACTTTTTAATCATCCATGGAGTCACACCATTTACGGACTACCATTCTATTAATAAAGTTTGAGCCTTTATCCAATTCCTTGTAGTTCCTATTCTATTCTGTTTACAAAAATTTCATTTATTATTGATAGTAATTTTCAAAACAAAAGGACTTAATAATAAAAAGGTTTTTGAAAAGAATTCACAAATGACTTTTTACTTCAGATTTTGTGATTCAAGTGGAACAAAAGTAGTAGTAATTCCAAGGATGGATGAACTCTGAAGTTTTGAAAAGATTCCTCAAGAGATATCCCGGGACTAATCTTGCTGATATGCACATGTTCCTCTTGTGTTTTATCCCTTGGATAATGGATTTCATACCAATTGATATATGGTGCGATGTTGGGCCTAAAATCCCATTTTCCCCAGTTAAGTCTCGGTCCAGATTTTTTTCCAGGTTGACTATATGGTGTTGGATTTGTGTAGTTTGATACCTTTATCCCAGATTCTCCTGTCAGGACTTCACACAGATATTTTTTAACTGATTAGTCAGACAAGGACAAAATCTTTTCTAAGAAGCATTGAGACAACTGTTAATTTTTGTCTTTACCCAAGTTGGTTTAGTGCATACATTCACACATACATCATGCATAGCTGAATTGAAATTCTTTGCTCATTTGCATTCATTTATGTATTTTATTGGCATATTACCCTCTTTGTAGAGTTATGTTACCCTCTCTCCAATAGATTTTCAACCTTAAGCAGAAAGTATATATCCTTTCAGTTTTCCCATTGAGTTATCCCTCGTGGAAGAATTTTTCTTTAGCCTTCCTATTCAGCTCATTATATGGATGGAATGTGATCCCCATTTGAGCTTATTCCTCATTAGTGATGTCTTGGTTGACTGTTTCACTCTGGTTTGTTCCTAGTTTTAATCTGTGGTCCCCAACATCAATATTATTTTGATTTCTGTAGGCTTTCAGTCCTGTATTGAGAATGTGCATTTATTTTGCACGTGAAGACTTTATCTCCTCAACAGGAACATATTGGAACTTCTCGAGAAAGCCAAGATTCATTTCCCCACAACATTATTACAATCCTATTTGTAAACAATAAGTGGTAAGTCTCTTTATTTGAGCAACTTGTTCTTCCCTAGTAAGTCTGTTAATTCCAGAGAATATTTTACTCCGATGAATGGTAGTCTCGTTATTATGGGATATAGTTCGTTATTGATATGTTTTAATCCGATGAATGATAGTCCCGTCTTTATGGGAGATATTTCATTGTTGATATGTTTTACTCTGATGAATGGTAGTCTCATTATTATGGGAGATAGTTTGTTATTGATATTTTTTACTCGATGGATAGTAGTCTCGTCATTATGGGAGATAGTTCATTGTTGAAGTGTTAATCTGATGAATGGTAGTCTCGTCATTATGGGAGATATTTCATTGTTGATATGTTTTACTCCAATGAATGGTAGTCTCGACATTATTGGGGAAAGTTCGTTATTGAGGTGTTACTCCGATGAATGGTAGTCTCTTCGTTATGAGAGATAGTTCGTTGTTGAGATGTTTTACTCTGATGAATGGTAGTCTCATCATTATGGGGGATAGTTTGTTGTTGATATGTTTTACTCCGATGAATGGTAGTTTCATCATTATGGGAGATAGTTCGTTGTTGAGTTGTTACTCCGATGAATGGTAGTCTCTTTATTATGGGAGATAGTTCATTGTTGAGGTGTTACTCCGATGAATGGTAGTCTCGTCATTATAGGAGATAGTTCGTTGTTGAGATGTTGTACTGTTGTTGCAGTAAAGTGGCAAGCAAAAAGTAAGTTATTAATTTACCAGGTGATATTTATGTTATATCGTATCATGTCTACAAAGATTGGTTATTGATTCGACGTTCGACACATTCTCGCGTTTGTGAGTTTGGTTTTAAATGGGTTTGTTTGTAAGGTGAGAGAATTAAAAGTTATAAACATAAAAAGAATTTCATTCTTAGAATATTAAGGAACTCTCGAGTTTGTATTTCGTATACCATATCAAATACTTAAACTTACTACCCGGTTGCACTTAACCTTAACTACTCGTCAATATTGTCACGTATCGCTTGGAATAACTGGCTAAAAATCATCAAACAATAAAGTCGCCATCGAACGTCTTTTATCCCACATGGAGGGAAAGGTAAACATAGAGAAAACTTGAGAAGGGAGAAGTCACGGTCTTGCAACCGAGAGATCGGGTAAGGGAGTCTGTTATGCAAGGGGAATGTATTTGCACCCCACACGCCCGTAGTACTCTATGGTATCCACTCTTGTTGTCTATCTTATGGGTGTGTTTAATCTATGCTTTCTGTTTACTACTACTGAAGAAGAATGCATGCAAAAGAAATGAGAAAAGAATGTAGGGAAAATAAAGTTGTATTCGCTTGGGCCCTACCCGAATGCCTACGTATCCTTTTTGAGAAATCAGAGCTATCGTAGTTCGGCTCACATGTTTTTGTTTGTTTTATTTTTTATGGACAATTTTAATTCCGACTTCTTCCGCAGCTCGACCTTTGGAGACTTATGCATTGGCACAGAAGTAAATTAATCACGTCCTTGCCTGAAAAGGGTTTTTAGAGAAAAGTTGCTTGGACGTACAAAAAGGTTTGAGTTGGTTTGTATTTTGTTACCTTGAAAAAGGGTTTAAGTGTGATTAGATGTTTTATGATTTGCTAAAAAAAGGTTTTAGTTTTAGATGCATATGCAAAAGGAAGAAAAGACTCTAAGAGAGACTAGCCTATTTCTAACCTAATGTTATCATGGTCGTCCTAAGGTTTAGATTAATCAAAAGGGAAACGTCTACCTAATGTTAGAATGCATGGCTTGCAACCTGAGGTCTAACTCGCGTCCAAAAGGAGCAAGCACATCCTAAGGGAACATAGTATGTACAAGGAGAAAGCAAGCAAGCTCGAAAGAGCGCACACATAAAAGATTAAGGAAAAGAAGAGAAATGCTTTAGCCAAGGGGAGCGTATCACCCGAGACAAACAAACGTGAGTGAGATGAAGAAACAAAAAGTGATGTCCAAAGCGACTGAACACCTAACCAAGATATAGGAGATCGAGGTAGGCGAAAAAAGACAATATGAACGACCACAGAGTATCATCATCGGCCAATGTGAACTCCTGGCAAAGCGCGGGGTTTTAATTGCAGAACCCTTCCCCACTTGACGACTCTATATACAAGAGCAGGCACAACTCCAAAGCTTCATGGTGCGTCACGAGCTAAGGATGACACAGAAGAAGTTGCGGGGGTTGATTGCTAACCCTCCCTGCTCGCCTCCTTTTGAGGACTTCAATAAGGGGTGGGGGAATAGTACGGGCACAAAATGTAAACACACCTGCAAAATACCTACACTAAGGTAGGGTTTTAAACAAACCACACACAAGTAGCACACAATGGAAAATAATGCGGAATTGCCCTAAACGGGTCTTTAAATAAACCAGAGGGGTTCTTGACATAATCAGCAACAGAGACCCCTGTCATACATCTCTACCCTACTTCTCATGGAATCAGAAAGCAGTAAAATCCTATTTCTCATGATATCTAAAAAGCGGTAAAGAAATGTAGAATAAAGTCACAATAATACCTAACGGAGTAGGTCTGTTGCCTCTTCAAAGCCACACAAGTGATACGAAAACTCTACAAAAGCTTCCTAGAATTCTCTTTTTGAATACTATGCTTTAAATTCGTTTTAAAATCTTAGCTAAAAATGACAATGAAAATGATTATTAAACATAAAATAATAGAAAATTATAATAAAATTATAAAGAAAAACCCTAAAAAATTCTAAAATATTCTACTATTTTTATTTGGTTTTATTACATTTTTATCAACAATCTATAACAAACAATAAGAGAAGTGTAATGGAAACCTAGAAAAGGAAAATTAAACTAAAGGGGTGTAGCTGAAATCAGGGGGTGCTGTAGTAGAAGCAGAAGCTAGGCGCAACCTATGGAAATGGTCCAATAAGCCATTTTTTGTGTGCAAAGAAATTAGTTGCCAAAACAAAACTGCTCAGGCCCAATGGATATGTGGTTCGGTCCATCACCATATCCATCTGATTCTTTTTTTCCAACATTATTCACTATTATTATTTGCATAAAATGAATAAATTGGAAATGGATTAAATGATAAAATTAGGTTTGATAGAAGTGACTATTGAGCTTCCCATGGGAGCAAATATGAACCTTGAATCTCTGCAAACAGTGCCAATCTCCACCACAAACTTTCGTCTTCCTTCAACATTCGTCGTTCCACCGTATCATTCAAGCCACATTCTCTTCAATATGGGGTGGTGTTCATGTTCCTTATCAACATGCAACGGTGCACATCACCATCCCGATGACTCTGCATGCGAATCCCCCTCTCCCCTCTCCGTTTATTTTGATTTGAATTTATGGTTTAACTTCCGTTCCACCGCCGAACATCTTCATCAGTTCGTCTCTTCTTCATCAGAGTTTTGCAAATAAAATGAAGCTTTGGAGCTTCTGAATCCAGTCGTAGATCAAAAATGTTCACACAAGTTATTATGCGAATCAAAGCGAGAAAATTATCAATTGCAGCTTACCGGTCGGGGTTTGTCTGACGCATCTTTGACGGTGACTCCAACGACGGGAAAACCAGAGGTAACATTATTGCTTCTTTAGTTTCTTCAGACTCCTCTCTTATTCTTCTTTGAGCAATTATGGATATATTGTTGTTGATTGAAGATAATTGACTGTTAGGGTGAACTCAGGTTGATGCGCATAGATTGGAATCACGCATTGGAATCGGTAGCCGAAGGCGATGCAGGTTTGTGAGGTTAAAGTAGAGGAAGTTGTAGAGAATAAAGGTGTTGGTGATGAAGATCAAGAAAGGCTGCAGGTGAAGAAGATGAAGATGGTGATTGTGATGTAAAAATGGCACGTGGATGAATATGGACAAAGGTCTTGAAGCTGGAAAATGGTGAGAATCATGGAGTGCAGAAGAAATTTTAAGGTGAACACATAGAATTGATGCTTGAAGATCATAGAAGGTGATGCAAATTTTTGAAGGTTCAAGCAGAGGGAAGACTAGAGAATAATTTAGAGGTGAGTATTTTTGTCATTTCTCTTAACTTTTCTGAATCGTGAATCTTCTCTCCCTCCTTTTCTGTTACAAATTATGTTAGATCCCTTTCTATTATGAATTTTCTCTTGGCTGGAAGTTTTTTGTTTCCGTTGAGAAGTTAGGAAGTTAGTTATAGTTGGTTATGAGGATAGTTAGAGATAGGTTGGAAACTGTTATGTGAATTGGTTTAGAAAACCCGTTAGGGGGTTGTGAATGATTGGAAACAGTTATAGGTGGTTATGTTAGAGGTTAGAGCAGTTAGTTAGGAGCTGTTTTTTCTGTGAAATAGGGATGTTTGGAATGGGCTGGAGTTAGAGGAGTATGACAATTCAGTTGCAAGTCTGTTAGAATTTCTATTTGAATGAGCTAGATGGTAGAAAGATGAGAAGCTATTTTGGATCTGTTAGTTAGGAGATTAGTTTAATCTGTTAACAGTAAGTTGTTAGGGATTACGACTATTATGCGGTTAGAAAGTTGGTTACTGATTCGGGAAATTTTTAGTAGCTAGAAACTTTGACAGTTGGCATGGTTGGAAATTTGGTTATGCAGGGTAGTTAGGTTAGTGAGGGAGTTAGAGACTGTTATTGGTTTCCTGTTGGGAAATGGTTAGGAAAAGTTGTGGATTTTTGTTAGGGGTTACCTTGCTACTATAAATTTCTGGTATGATTTATTTGAATCCAGGTTTACGGCATTAAACTTAAGTGGTGAGGCTACTGGGATTATTAGTGATTAGTCTTCTACAGATTATGGTTTTTGAAACAAGGAATTCCTTTAGCATCTTCAAGAACATGGAGTTCTTCCTCATAACCTGATTTACTTGATTGTGCATTTCTAATGGCATGCAAATCCAGTTCAGAATTATCCAAACCATATCATATTCTCTCTTCCGTAGAAGCCACATCAGTTTTTTTATGTGAGATGGAATCATTTTCAAAATGTGGAGATACTGACTCAGTTCTTTGTGTGTTGGTCCGACTTGGATGGTTTTGTGCGCATGGCTGTCTTAACATGATTCAATTGGCTCTTGGAGCTTAGGGAAAACTTTTGAAGGGAGCAAGAGAAGGTTAAATCATGAAGATAAAACGAAGCAGCTTGAAGACTTGAAGAATAGGTTTAGGATTAGGCTTAGAACCAAAATTTTTGTGTAATTGTGGATGTAATTGGATGTATGTATTTGAAATTTAGCTTTGTGATCTGAACATGAATGAGCTACCATGCTTTAAAATGTTTTTTTTATAATGTAGACTTTGATTTCAAATTTGAATTACTTTCCGTCCATTATACTTGTAACTTGAATGAAAAATCATAAATTTAAATGGAACTTTGGCCAAAAGTTAACTTTCCCAAATTGACGTTGAACTTTATCATGGGACGCCTCGCTTCAAAACTTGAATCCAATTTGATATCTCACAAGGAATTGAATCCAAATCCATTTATATGTCATGCCTAGATTTGAATAATGGGAGATGAATTAAGTGAACTTGAAGATGGCAACTTGAACTACATGAATCTTCCAATCTTACCTTGAATCAACCATTGACAAATCATGAAATTGAGATCTTGAACCAATATTAATCTTGAGCATAATTAGGAGTTTTAATGAATCCAAATTTGCATCTCATTTCTCTTGAAATCCTAGTTAACTCGTAATTGAAGCAACAAGTGTTTGAAAGAATGATGACGTTTTGAACTCAATGAACTCACAACTTCATATTCTGTACCATGGCTTGCATTTTGCAATCCAATCCACACTATATATTGACTTTATGGATAACAACAATGCCTTGAGGGTGCCTTGAAGTATATAAAGAAATGTAATATGAAGCTCAATGAACCTCAGTCGATAGATATTACAAATTCACACATAAAAGATGTCACCCTAATCCACTCGTGCTTGATGAATTATTGATGGAGGATGACCTTATAGCTTGATGGAGAAAAGATCCACAACATCCATGCACACAAAACCCTAATTCCACAATTTCACTAACTTGAAAAATAACTAGAAGATAAAACCCTAATCCTGTTCACGAACATTGATCCCATGCTACATTTATTGATGAATGATACATGAGATGTTAGCTGACCTAATAGGAGTTATGTACATGAGAAAAGTGCCAAATGCATAAGCCATATAAAATTAAAAGGGTAGGACAAATTTGGGGTATTACATCGCTCACAAAGAGGTCATCTCTAACACAGAGTGAGATATCAACCGTATCGTTCTATGTCGACGATCTCTCAACACAACACAAACAACACGAAGACATTAAGAGTCGATACCTAAGTGATTACTAAGCCTAAATATATCTCTAGAATCTAAGCCTAATAGATATTCATCCTAAGTCCGGATTCAATCCGTCCATCTCTGCAACATCTCAAACCCAAACCCTTAGAAAGCTAAAAAGGATAAACATTGTTGTATCCCAAAATTTTCCCTCTCATTTATCAATATTTTCTCCACAAGACTTCTTGGACTCAAGACAGGATTAGGGTTTGGTCAGCTCAAGACATCTCCTTGCACTGATAACCTGAAATTAGGGTTTGAGTTTGCACAAGTATTTTTGGACCACCAATGCTTCATGTGACTCTCATACACCATCTTGGACCCCTAAGATTTCCCATGTTAAGTTTCAAGCCTTGAACCACATTTTTGCTCAGTCAATTGGACAGTTCACCTAAAAATCAGCTGTATTGGGGAAAAAGTCAACCATGGCCAATTTACAGTCAAACTTCATAATTTTTAATCCAAAACAACATTTTAGACTCATATGTACCATTTGATCAAGTTTGGATCATAACTCCTCAAGAAATTTGATCAAATCATCAAAAGGGCAAAATGGTCAAAATTAGGGTTTTGACTGAAAAAGGGCAATTTCTGATTTTTAACCTAGCCAATGACCAATTGAGTTCAAGCATGATTTCAAGGACTCAATATCATCATCTTTACCTAATCACATAGTTCAAAAGATCACAAGTTCATTGGATTGACAGATGAATTTTCCAGTCAACTGATCAAAAGTCAACTGTATACTGAAAAGTCAAACTTTGACTTTTTGGTCAAAATCAAGTGCCAAGAGTCATAATTCATCAAGATAGGTCAAAACATGAAACTTGTTCACCAAGAAAACAAATTTTGAAAATTAGGGTTTTGAATTTGAAAAATTTCATAACTTAGAATTTTTCTAAGTATGGAAATTTTCTTATTTTTCCCCAACTTTTCACCACTTTTTCACCATGATGAAATTGGATTCAAGGAAAAACTCCAACATGAAAGTTGTAGTCCTCCATGAAATCTACAACTTTTATTCACAAAGTTTTCCCAAAAGATGCATGGATATCAAGATATGAATTTGTGAATAGAGGTCCATGAACTAAATAACTTAGTGAAAATTTGCCCTAATTTAGGCAGGTTTTTGACCCAACTTCATGGACATTTTCCACATAGTTCCAAGAGGTATATAAAAGTGAATTTCAAAGATGGATTGTTGAGCACATTGCAAGATTTCTAAAATGTCCAAGAACTCCCCAAGATCATTTGTGGTTAGGGAGAATCGAAGAAGAGAAATTGGCATTTTATCACTTTTGTTCATGCCATTTTCACAAAGTGTCAAGTTGCAAATCTGATCTTGAATGCTTGTACCTTGCATTACAGGTCCTAAACTCATTCTACACTCCATAATTTAATGCTAACTCAGAAGATAAAGGCTTTATTTTGGATTTTGGAACATTGTACAAGTGATAATTCCATTAATGGCATAAAGGGCACATTGCTATTTTCATAAAGTGAGCTTTTGCAACTTTATCATTCTTGAGCCTTGGAGCTGTCCTTTTGGTGCAGGAAATTTCCACAGATCACAAGCAATGTACACCAACTCTTTGCAGCCCTAAAACTAGCCAGTACAAGCATGTTGCACAAGTCATCTCACTTTTCTTAAAATGCAAGAAAGTTGGCCAAAAGTTCAGAACTTGTACAAGCTGATAAAGAGTGGACTTTGTGTCATTCTATACATACTCAAACACTTATCACAAGCCAGAACACGAATTGGTAGCATCCAAAACACCCTAAAACTCAAAAACTCCATTTTCTGCCAAAAACATACAGTTCTGCAAAATCCTAGCCAAGTCATTTTTTGCTCGTGCGTTTTGTGGCTTGACACTTCAAACACCTTCTACATATCACACTAAAGCTATCCAAGCCTTTACATTGTTGTTGTAACCCCTGTTTCAGCCATTGCCATTTTCAAATTTGGAGGTTGCAGCTTGACTTCTACAAAGAGTTTTGGCCATCCACAAAGCAAGCTAGGCATTGGAATAGCTTGAAGGAACTTCAAGGAAGCTCACACGATCCTCAGGCCTCACTCAAATTCCCCACATTGTCATATCCAAATCCAGCTGAAGGAGGTATTTTTCTCAAACTCTATCTCTCTATTTAGGCATCCTCAAGCCACAATTTGTGAAGCAAAAATGTAGTCCTTAACACGGTGAAGCTGTACATATGCATACTTTCCATTTATGTTAACTGAGCTAAGAGAATTTGAAGATTGAAGTTGCTGAAAAAACTAGGTCACGAATTAGGGCTACTGAAATTCTCCCTGATCTTTGAGAGTTAGATTATAAATTTTATATCATTGGAATCGTGAGATGAAATGCTACATGTTTTGTGTTATAAGCTTTTGTTTTTATGCAAGCAATAGAGAGTTACAGATTTGAAGGCAAATATGCGCGCAAGGAGGAAGCTGGAGGACAGGGATGAAGTGCCTGGGCCTTGGGCGCCTTGGGCCTTATGTTTTTGATTTTCAGACCCCCCCTGACCACTATTTGCACCCCCTGACTTATTTTGTTATATTTTTCATATTTTCTCATATTTTTATGTTTATTGCTTTTAATAATTTTTTCTGAACATTAAAAAATCATAAAAATAATTTCTTTATTTTTTGCATTTTATTTTATTTTTTAATTATTTTTTGGCATAAAAAAATAGTCTTATTAGGATAATAGACTTTATTTTCTTAAATAAATTGTAAATACATTTAAATAATACTTAATATTTTTATTTTATTATTTTACACATAAATATTTATTTTCATACATATTTAATTTTTAATATTTGTGCATAATATTATTTATTATTTTTTACAAAAAATGGACAAAATAAATAATAGGAAATATATATTTCTTTTAATAAAAAATTAGGGTTTCACCCCTTTCAAAAATAATAATATTTTTTCTCTTATTTTTAGGGCTTAAATAAATCATTTTTCTCATACAAAAATCAAAAACAAAACATTTTTTTCCATAAATACATTGCATTGCATATTTAAATATTTGTATATTTATTTATTTCACACAATATTCAATTGGGTTGTAATAGTATTTTTAGGGTTTATTTTGTGCAATATCCCCATTCAAAAACTTGTATCCCCCCTCCCATAATAATTGTTGTAATAGCTTAGTTTACCTTTACGCAATTTATCGCATTTATACCATGTTTAGTAAACTAGGGTTTGCATGATAAGACCAAAAACAAACAAATAGAGAAGACCTAATACAAGACAAATCAAATGCATGTAAAATGACACACATTGCACACAAGCACCCTTAGGGTTTCACCCACTTGGTTGCCTAAAATAAAATGGCCATGTTACGCATGCGAAGTATCTTGGCAAAATAAAACAAAATAAGATCATAGTCCCTCGATGACGCTATCAAAAGGTTGCCAAAACAAAATGATCTTGGTCCCTCAAACATGCTAAGATACTTGGCAACATTGCTATCATGGTCATACGATGACCCACGCCCGTCCCGTTTAACATCCAAAGATAGGGTTGTTTATCAAATCAATGGTAAATCAACAATGTCAAAGGAATAAAAATGCACAAGAAAGACATTTGAGTAGGTAGATAACTTCTAAGTTACTTGATCCATTTCAAAACAATCCTTACTATTTTCAAAAACAAACACAAACTTCAAAACATTTCCAAACATCTTTCAAAACATTGAAACATTTTTCAAAAGACAAACATCTTTGTATACATTCTTACGAACGAGAATGATTACAATGATTGCCTAAACGATTGGCCTCTTTTCAAAATACTTTCAAAATCACACCAAACACAAAGCACCATTTTAAACAATTTCAAAAGCAAAGCAAGTGATATAAGCAAGTAACTAAGAGCCCATGGAAAACCATGGATGAAAAGGGTGCTAGCACCTTCCCTTTTCATAATCTACCCCTCGAACTCAAGAAAACATCTCAAAGGTCTTTCCTGTGCTTTTTTACCTTTCCTTTTGGATAAAATAAAAGTCGGTGGCGACTCTTGCTAAACCTCAACATTTGCGACAAAACGCAAAACCTCAAGTTAGTTCTCCCACTGTATCACAGAACTGGAGACTCTGCTGGGGATATGTTCTAAAAGTGGGGTTACCTTAGGGTTTAGATCACCTTTATTTGCTTACCTTGTTTGACTTGTTTGCTTTACATTTTGGTTCTATTGTTTGGGTTTGAATCCTCTACCCGGATTTCGGAAGAATTATAGGTAAATAGCAATACATTGTGGAAACTGTGCGGGGTACACCGACACGGTCTAAGCAATAACTATTTGTTAGTGCAAAGAGAATACGAGGCCGCTGAGTGATGTCATGAAGCACTAACGAACTTCTAGAACCTTTACTTGACCAACTTGGCCTTTTAGGATGTAGTGAGATGACCGGCTTTGGTGCAGTCCGAAGTTGGTAGATACTCGATACTACACTCATTTAGGGTTGGTTCCTTGGAATATTTCGGTCGCCGGTAAGAGGCTTGAATTGAAACAATGAACAAGGAAACAATCCAGTAATATTGAGCTCCTTAGAACCCGGTTACTATTTACTAGGACAGGTTGAGCCAACTAAACTTCAAGAGGGTACTTACCTATGAAACCTCATGCAAGCCTAAACTAGGAACTTGTGTGATTTGCTTGTACATATATACTTGTGCATAACATCATGGACATCATGAGAATCATATGCATCCACTAACCATTTCAAGGATTTTGGAAATTCATCTTTGTTCTTGTTTTGTAGGTTATGGATTCACTTCGCAGGAAAACTATCCAAGTCAACCTTGTAAGAATTCCTCCACAACTCAAGGAGCTAGCTTCAAGGATTCCTGAGAATTCCCCATTCATCGAGAGACATGGTCGTCTACTCAACTTGGTCACTATTGTACCCAAAAATTTGCCCTCTTATTTTATCAAGATTTCCCCTCACAAGACTCTTTGGACTCCAGACAAGATTAGGGTTTGCTCTGCTCAAGACATCTCCTTGCACTGTGGACCTGAAATTAGGGTTTGAGTTTGAACAAGAATTTTTGGACTTTAAATGCTCAATGTGACTTTCATACTTCATGTTGGACTTACAAGATTGCCCATACCAAGTTTCAAGCCTTGAATCAAATTTTTGCCCAGTCAATTGGACAGTTGACCTAGAAATCAGTTGTATTGGGGGGAAAGTCAACTGTGGCTAATTTATAGTCAAACCTCATGATTTTTGATCCACATCAACATTATAGACTCATATGAACCATTTGATCAAGTTTGGACCACAACTCCTCAAGAAATTTGATCAGATCATCAAAAGGGGAAAATGGTCATTTTTAGGGTTTTGACTGTATAAGGGCAATTTCTGATTTTTCACCTAGCCAATGGAAAATTGGGTTCAAGTATGGGTTCAAGGACTCAATTTCATCATCTTGACTTATTCACAAGGTTCAAAAGATCTCAAATGCATTGGATTGACAGATGAATTTTCTAGTCAACTGATCAAAAATCAACTATACACTGAAAAGTCAAACTTTGACTTTTTGGTCAAAATCAAGTGCCAAGGGTCATTTTTCATCAAGATGTGTCAAAACATGAAACTTGTTCATCAAGAAACCTAATTTTGCAAATTAGGGTTTAAGATTGAAAATTTTCATAACTTAGAATTTTTCATAGTTATGAAATTTTCTTATTTTTTCCCAACTTTGCCCAATATTTTCACCATGATGCAATTGGATTCAAACAACACTTTCAACATGAAAGTTGTAGTCCTCCACAAAATCTACAACTTTTATTCACAAATTTTTCCAAAAGGATGCTTGGATCTCAAGTTATGATTTTTGGAATAAGGGTCCATGAAACTTTTAACTTAGTGAAATTTTGCCCTAGTTTAGGCAGGATTTTGACCTATCTTCATGGCCATTTTCACCTAGTTCCAATTGGAATTTCAAAATTCATTTCACATATGGATTGTAGAGCATGTTACAAGCTTTCCAAAATGTCCAAGTACTCTCCAAAATCATTTGTGGTTATGGAGAATCAAAGGTTTGAATTTGGCAAAAAGTCACTTTAATCCATGGCATTTTTCACTATGCTACAAGTTGCAATTTCTGTCCAGCTTCATTTGTACTTGTTTACAGGTATCTAAACCCTTCCACACTCAAAAATTTAATGCAAACTCAATGGTTTAATGCATTGTTCTGATTTATGGAAGATTACACAAGGGTTTAATCCCTTTTTGGCAAAAAGTGAACATTGCCATTTTCATAAAGTTGGCTTTATGTCAAGTTGTTCCTCTTGAGCCTTGAACCTTTTTTTTCACAGCAAACAAACTCCATAAACTCAGGGCAAAGGACAACCACTTTTTGCAGCTAGGAAGGAGGCCGATACAGGCTCTTTGCTTGATCACTTCACACTTTTCATAAAAGCCAAGTCAACTGGCAAAAAGAAGAAAACTTGGCAATCTGATAAAACCAACTCTTGTAAACATTCAAAACAACTTTTGCATATCACATTGAGCCAAAAAACACGAGCTATCCAATCCTCAAACACCCTTGAACATCAAAACACCTTCTTCTTGCAAAACAGGGCAGTTTCTGCATTTTTGTTTCCAAATCACAAACTACTCGTGTGTTTTGCCCCAAACCTTTTCCAATACATTCCATACAACCCACCTAAGTTATCCCAACCATTAGCCAGTGATTGTAACCTTGTTTTCAAGCTTCACCATTTTTGAATTCAGCTTGTGCAGGTTGACTTCTACAGGCTTGTTCAAGAAAACTCAAAGCAAACTAAGCATTGGGGAAGGTCAAAGGAAGTTCAAGCAAGCTCCCAAGCATCTCAGGCCTCAATGAAAACCTCCACATTGTCATACGAGTTCAACTGAAGCAGGTATTGTTCAAACTTCTATATCTCTATTTAGGAAACATTAGGCTTAGGTTTGTGAATGAAAAATGTAGTACTCATTGCCCTTAAGCTATACATATGCATAGATTTCATTTAAGTTAACTGTGTTGAGAGAATTTGATTGATGAACTTTCTGAAAAAGTTAGGTTAGAAATTAGGGCCAGAGAAATTCTCTCTGGTCTTTGAGAGTTAGATTAAGTTTTTTACATGGTTAGAATCGTGTGATTATGCTCTATAACTTTCATGTTACAAGTTTTCATTTTTAAGCACTGAAACAGGAGATACGAAGTTGTATACAGGGCACACATTTTTTGATTCAAAGGTTGAAGACGAAGGCAAGTCTGGGCTGGGCCTGACTTGTTCTTGCTTTTTGCACCCCTAGCCTTACTGTTTACACCCCCTTGGCCCATTGTTTTATATTTTTATATTTTTGAATTTCAGTTTTAGTTTCTGACTTTATTTTATTTTTCTTAAACATTAAAAATACCAAAAATATTTTTATAAATTTCCATATTTTATTTTATTATTTTTTGTTATTTTTTGGACATAGAAATAATTATTAAATAATAGATACATTTATTTTCTTAATA